ATTTATTAATATATCCATATATTTATTAATATAGCCATATATTAATAAATATATGGATATATTTCTACACAAATGCTGTCAGAATTTATCGTTCTGTTTGGGAAGCAGATGGAAACATGTAGCATGAAGCATATGTGTACACACACGATACACGTGGATTTTATTTTGAAATCAGAAGTTTCAGAAAGACGACAGCGAGACAGTTTCAACATAGACACCAAAAGCCTTAATATTGTTTTCAGCTGTGTTTGGAGTTCGTCTTTCACAGAATTAATTATTTTTTGCTCTGACTTCCACACTTATCACTGAATTTATTGCGCGATCTGCTTCCTGCACGTCTGTCGGAGCAGAGCGGAGGTAGTGTAAACTGGACTTGAAACGCACAGCTGCGACCTGCGCACTGCAGCGGAGCGGAGACAGAATACAAGTAATGTAAATTAGGGGTTAAGCTGAACCATATGTCTTTTTAAAAAACAAACAAGCTAAGAGAAAGAAAAACAGCACTGACAATTTTTATTACCAATAGAAACAATGCAAAGACTTATGGTGACTGTGTGATTACCTGCTTGAGTGCCAAATTGCCAATGATTAGATTCCACTTCTCTATGGGAGAGTCCATCTTACCAACATTTACCTAAATGAAAAGGTAGGGCAGGAAGTAAAAAAATTAGGTAGGAATGGATTGATATCACACCTTTTTTTAATTGAACACAAGTACTTCCATTTGAGTACTTGACAATAGGGCTGCCACAAATGATTATTTTTTTAGTCGACTAATCACCGATTATTTTTTTCGATTAGTCAACTAATCGAATCATACGTTAATTGAATATAAAACATAGAGCTTATCACACCAGAATGCAGCTGCTATTATATATCCATCGTCAGATTTTAGCTATATGCCAACTAAAAATTACTGTTGTGGAAGGCAAGTTCTGCCTTACAGATGTTGCATTGCACAGGTTTCTCTTTCATGTTCTTGAAATGAAGGACAGAAAGGCAGATGCAGCAGTGTAAGGTGTCAAAGCAGTTTGGAGAGAAAAACAAAAAAACAAAAAACACTAATCGACTATTAAATTAGTCGTCGACTATTTTAATAGTAGATTAGTCGTTGACTAGTCGACTAATCATGGCAGCCCACTTGACAATAGTACCAATATAAATCCTAGTAAATACCATTACACCTCTTACAATTACTTTGAAAATGTGTTCATCCAAACATGTAAGTTTAGGGGTCACCCCGAGGGGGAATAAACATTTCCACCAGTCTTGGACCCTGGTCTCAGAAGACCTCCCTCAAAACAGACATTTTATTTAATCAAGATAATAAACAAAATAATCATTTTCTTTATATATTTGATTTATATTTTCTTTTAACTAAAAGTTACAGCGGGTAAAATAAGTATTGAACACGTCACCATTTTTCTCAGTAAATATATTAC